AAGAAGAAGAAGAAGAAGAAGAAGAAGAAGACTTGTCAACCATCGAATCAATTTGCTTATTGTTCCGAGCTTTAGAACCCTTACAGGAGTCCATTTTCAGAGACAAGAAGCAGCAACCGCAAGGCGGGTAATTATGGTAGTCATAGGCCAATCAACTGCCTAAGATAATCAGGTCATCAAGGGGCAGGAAATAGTAACCAAAAGGACGGGGTACAGTGGTATACGCTAATTAATTGGAACGCGAACGTTTTCGTTCATTCGTGAAGATGAAGACTCCAAGACGCAATTACTTCCAAGTTTCTGTTTCTATACATTGCGGTAGGCTGGCTTGGGTAAATTGACCCAAATAGACTCACAGCTCCCGGTGAGGCATCGCAGATCAGGTGGTTGATCGTAAAGCCTTCCCCTTCCTGATGTGGCTTCCCTTCCCGCCCAGATTGTTGGAGTTTTTGTACAACTGAGCCAAATGAATCATTCTAATCTGCCAAACTTCAGTTATACGTTCATTCCCGTGACGTTTCGAGATCTGTCGCGGATAAATCATCAGAGACATAAGCGGAGAGCAGTAGCAGATACGGGTAACCTTCTGTTTGGAGAAATCAGTAGACAGATTCGATTCCGCTATTTGACTCCTAAAGAAATCGACTGAAATCTTCATTTATGAAGTCAAATACGAAGAATTACCAACTAACAAGGGAAACGGATTCCAGACATGTTATGTTTGGCAAGATCTTGCCTGCTGGCTGTGAGTTCCGCTCAGCCTCAAAAATAGTCATTACCTAAGCAATGTGTAGTTATCCTATTTGGTGACGACAGTTGCATAGATTACATTCTACCTTCTAAACAGAGTATAAAGAAATATCAGTTCTGATATAAACCTAGTAGGAGGGGGCGTTCGTGGACAGTGTTCTGCTTTAACGCAGACAAATTATTAAAGATAGAACCTCAAATAAATATTGCTTTTCTTCATTCGTAGCAACTGATAGTCATGCTTTGAAGGCGCTGCAACCCCTTGGGAAAAAACGTGAAGCCTCCAAAGTGAATGGTCATTTAAACAGCCACGAAGCCTGTATGTTTCACTTCTGTTGAACTAGGCTGTATGAATCTGTTCCCGTTTATAACTTCGAAATAAGAGCGTACTCCCCTCCACCGCTTTTCTTGGGTTTAACAATTCTTTTAAAATGAGATATAATTCCGTAAATTGGTAATGCTTTGTGAACATCAATAGACCTCCTCGTAATGACACGCATAGGTGAACCAAATTACCAACCAGGAAGAAAGAAACGCTTTATTTGAAAACTTTCGGAACAATCCAGAACGATGGTTTTGGTTCAAACTAAGTATTTCAAAATCTAAATGTCGAATACGAAGAAAAGGGTGCCCTGTAAAACGATGATAAAAAAAATGGAATCTTTGTGTGCCGTTTCTATGGCCTAGGATTAAAACTAACAAATAGTACAAAAAGTCAGTAAGGAATCGTGGGGTGTGTTTAGGTAGATGTGGTCTTAAAAGGTGATTTGCAGATGTTTTTGGCAGGGTACTCAACCCAGAAGCCAGTTTGCTCCAGTGACAGAATTAACCCCGAGGTTGTATGCTCTGGAGTTGTCTGTGGTAGAATAACACACTCAAGTACTGTTGAAAATTGAGTCAAGATTGAAGTCAGCGTTTGGTGAGTTTCGGGAGGAGAAAAAGGCTCGTCTACTTCCGGCACTGTGTGCTTATTTCAACCTACGGCAGCTGGACGCCTGTCCCAAAATAATGCCTGTAATCTGTTCACCAGGGGTTGTGCGCGATAGGAGAGAGAGCCTTACAGGGTGCTTCCCCTGACCACGGTGAAGGCGCGACATAAAAAAACACAGTAGTTGCATCACTTCAGAGTACGTTACGCAAGACCGACCATAATGGTCTATTTAGTGGTTTTAGTGGACAAATTGCAATGCACAGGTGGGACGGTCAGGATTTACTCCAGTGGCCACAGCATTAAAGCCTAACGGAGCAGAAATTGGGTAATAAGAGTTATGCAGAGAAGTGCGTTTATATGACTGGTTAGGTAGTGAAACGCCTGACACACTGCGGAGGATAATCATGCCCTGCGGCAACATAATCCATATTCGTGTCAGAAGATATAAGCTTCTTTAAACTTTAAAGTGCAGGATTGTTAAACGAGCAAATACAGTGAGCACAAAAAACGCATGCGTTTCCAAACAGAAGAAATTGCTTAATCTGAATTGCAAAGTTAACCTACATAGCAAAAGGCTAGGATTAACTGATATACCGAATCAAATTCACTTTTAACTGCGGCAAGATAATCCATATTATTAGGTTTGGCAGATTTGCTTAATTTTACTTGACCCAATTGTAAAAAAATTCGAGGCGTTCGA